AGTGTTATCCACTTAGCCACACATTCCTTTCTCCTTTGCTTTTTCAAAAAAAACATTTACTTCCTTTTTAAAAGCTATCATGGATTCTGCTTCAAGCGCGGATTAAAGTCGAGGCTCCACAAATGCACACACCTGAGGTACATCACAGAACTTTTAAAGTGTCACAATTTTTTCTGCAGCTGTCAAATTAGACACTAAGAGTTGCTCAAACACTCTGAGTTGCAACGTCTGTAGTATTTTGGGTGATTGTTTCCAATGATCAAGTAACCCGTCAACTACTCACCCATATAGCTCGGTGGTTAGAGCACTCGCCTCGCAAGCAAGAGACCTGGGTTCGATTACCGTCAGGGCAAATCGTTGGGCAAGTTCCTTTACTCCGCACATCTCTGTTTACCTAGCAGTAAGTAATAATTCCTTCAAAACAAAAAATAATAATAATAATTTGGTCACTTCAATCCATGACTGTTTGTGGGACGCTGCTGTCCACAATTGGCTGCCACATTTTGCCCACAAAATATAGTCAATTCACTTAACAGTGTATTCTGTGAAGCGCTTTGAGACATCTCAAAGACGTGATAAGGCGCAATAGCAAATGCAAGGATTGTTATTATTATAATGGTTTGACTCAGGTTAAATGAGTTTTGTCAGGTCTCTGACTGACTGTCAGGTTCACTCCCTTGCATTTGCAGACCATACCTTCTCGATTGCAGGGTTCAAAAGGGGTTTGTCTCAATCTCAAATCAGTTCATAGAGTATATAAACAACCTGAAACGTTGACTCACTTTCCTTTCTCCATAGATGCTGCCTGACCTGCTGAGTGTTCCCAGCGACTTCTGGTTTTGTTTCAGATTTCCAGCGTCTGTTATATTTTGCGTTTTGTTGTATACGGTATATGACCCATTCATAGGTGGTCAGAAAGAATTTTCTCACTCCAAGGATAGTTTAGGGTTTGGAATTTGTTTCACACAAAGGCTTCAAGCAGAGCAGAGGATGATAAGAACTTGGAACTCACTGCAAGAAGCTGTGGTTAAGGCAAAAAGCATCAATGTATTTAGAGGAAACTTGATGCATACACGAGGGAGAAGAGAATAGATAGGTGAGGGGGTACAGGAGAGGGGTTATAGGAGAGGGGGTTCAGGAGGATGGAGGCTCTTGTGGATATAAACACCAGCATGGATTAGTTGTACTGAATGATCCAAACAACTCATTCCTATGGAGCCTCATTTTGTCCCAAACTGCATCAAGAAATTGAAGACGAGCAGATTGATTACTTCGCTCCACTCTCCTCACTCAGAATTAATTATTATTTCATCAGATTTAACCACTGCCAGCTTCTTCCAAGTGTTTGACACTGTCCTGGCTCAGCCTGCCTACAGCTGGACAGAAACTTGGAAGCGATGTGGGAAAGCTTGCCAGGCAGTGCTCAATCTAGGCAAGCTACGTGGTTTTAGCTGGTTGAACTCCAGCAGTTACCCCAACGCACACCTTCTGGAATCCACTCCAAGCCGGGCCCTTGCCAACCTCAATCATAGAATTATACAGCACAGAAGGAGGCCATTCGGTCCATTGTGTCTGTGCCGGCTCTTTGAAAAGAGCTTCCAAATCAACCCCACTCTCTCCCCATAGCCCTGTTCAACCCCACTCCCCCGCGCTCTCCCCATAGCCCTGATCAACCCCACTCTCTCCCCATAGCCATGATCAAACCCACTCCCCCACTCTCTCTCCATAGCCATGATCAACCCCACTCCCCTACACTCTCTCCATAGCCCTGCAAACTTGTCCTCACCAAATAATTAACCTGCGCCCAATAATCTCCAGAATTAAGTAAGCAGCCTGCTTCCCTCCAGGGAAAGAGAGAGAACATATTCTGTTTCCAGACACGGGAAAATTCCATGTGCATGTGGGATACACACACGGTTTGGATAGATATCCAGCAATAACCAAGTAATAATATCTGTACTTGCATGAGAATGTCTCAAAGTTCTTCACAGAATTGTACTGTAAAGTTAGTGATTGTATTTTTGCAGGCGACTTAAGTCTGTTGCTGTGTTTTGGCTTGTAGGGGACGCCCAGTTTCACACCAGATATTCCCTCCACTTTGGTTCAAAATTACAAAAGTACTTGGTTTGGAACACAAAAAGGAGCACTTTTCAAAATTAAAAAGCAACTGGCAACATGCATTGACAATGAACAAAGCACAAACTATAAACGGAAGCAAAGTAAAACAGGACTGTGGAAATAAAGAATGCTGCAATATTTGTAAATACACCTCGTATTTGATATAGGGCCTTTTGCCCACAAAATATAGTCAATTCACTTTCAGAATTCAGTGTATTCTGTGAAGCGCTTTGAGACGTCTCGAAGACGTGATAAGGTGCTGTATCAAATGCAAGGATTATATTATTTTCATGTCGTTGAGACATCTCAAAGTGCTTCACAGGATTTTAATGTAAAGTGTAGTGACAAATGTGGCAGCTGATTTTGCACACAATGTCCCACAAACAGCAATTTTATGAGAGGTTGTCAGCCAGGACACTGGACTAAATCAACAAAAACATAATTACATTTGTATAGTGCCTTTCACGTTGGGAGGGCATCCCAAGGCACTGGAAAAGCTTTTTTAAAAAAAAAACTTCCACTAAGTAAAGTGCCCAATCGATCAATTTCATGAATCTCAAATCATAGAAGAGTTTAGCATTACACAAATCCTGTCTAAAGACCTTCCTTTTTACACAATAACTTGCATTTATGCAGTATCTCCCTTGTACGACAATGTCTGAGCGTTTAAAGCTGTGGTGGCCACTCTTTTTAGTTGGTCAATAAAATTGATTTTCTTCTTTGAATATTTCCCAATTTATAATAATAATAATCCTTGCATTTGATATAGCGCTTTTCACGTCGGGAGTCCCAAAGCGCTTCACAGAACACACTGTAAAGTGAATTGACTGTATATTTGTGGGCGAACGCGGCAGCCAATTGCGCACAGCAATGTCCCACAAACAGTCGTAGATTGAAAATGACCAATTTATTATTGTTTTTTTTTTTGGAGGGATTATTATTAGGCTCTGTGTGGAGTAAGGAAACTTGCCCAAGGTTTCGCCCTCTGCCTGGAATTGAACGCAGGTCTCTCTCTTGCAAAGCGAGTGCTCTAACCACTGAGCTACAGGACTCCATAATTTATGCCATAAATCAAGAAATATTCAATCAAGAAAACCTTGAACACAGACTTCATTGAATCATACAGCACAGGAGGCCATTCAGCCCGTGCCGGCTCTTTGAGCTGCCCGATTAATCTCACTCCCCCTCATGTTTGTCCTCCCCAAATATTGATCCACTTCTCTCTTGAAAGTTGTTATTGAATCGGCTTCCACCAGTCTTTCAAGCTGTGATTCCAGATCCAACAACTCACTGTGTGAAAAAAACTCTCCTCATCTCCTCTCTGGTTCTTTTGGCTTATGTGAATGTTCGGGGCCACTTCATTGGGGATGTTTGCTTGGCACTGGTTTAAAATGATAGTGTTGGGTACAAAGAAGGGAGGGCAAGGGATAAGGGAGTGAGAGGTGACCAAAGATGTGGTCATTGAGGAAGATTTTAAGGTGGGATTTGAAGATGGGATAGAGAGGGGATCCAGAGATTTGGGGAATAATTGAAACAGCCTTACATTGGCAGCAAAGATGACCTGACAAGATTAATTCAGATGATTAGTACTTATTCGACTCACAAGAAGATTGATGTGGAGCTGGAACGAGTTAGGTCTCAGTTTTTCTGTTGCCATATTAATTTACAGCACTGGCACAGACACGATAGACCGAATGGCCTCCTTCTGTGCTGTACGATTCTATGATTCTGAGTTGCTTCTCAGGAAAACTATTCAGAGAATCAGGCAGTGCAACTGGATTGATGGGTTACTGGTTCCCCCATGTGGTCAACACATGGTATAAACCTCTTTGATTGGCCAACAAAATAAGTTGTTTCTTGATTGAATATTTCTGGATTAATAAGATAAATCTAGGTGATTTTGTTATTTATGTTACATTTATATAGTGCCTGTCACATTGGGAGGACGACCCAAAGCCTGGACAGTCAAGAGCTTGCACCCGAGTTGGGGGTGAGGAAGTTGATCCTCTGGGGGATGAGGAGCCAGTGAAGCCGGGCGAGGCCGGGGGTGAGTGAAGGTGATGTGGGAAAACCACGCCCTGAATGAAGCAAGGAACAAAAGCCTTACATCAAGAGTTTTTTTTATTAAGTCTACATAATACACAGCACAACAAAATACCACCCTCAGCCCTCACATTAAATGTGACGTAAAACACATACCATTTAATTCACATTAAATGTGACGTAAAACACATACCATTTAATAGGTAATTTACGAAACCCATCTCAATCTACATAAATGCCAGGGAGATGACTTGGACTGAATGTGGTTAACATACAGTGAAATCCTGTTGATGTTGACTCGAAGGAGCAGGCCTGATCTTAAAGTCCACATTCGGCTCGTCTCCTGTGTTGACTTGGGGGGAAATCTGAGGCTCCTGAGTTAGTGGTGGTGGTGGTGGGGGGTTGGAATAGATGAGATGAATTGGCCTCTACAGTGGCCGCTTCTGATCAGTCTATTAACAGCTGACTTGTGAATGTCAGGAGAGGACACAGTGCGTCACCTCACACCTCAACAACATAACATGGTGACCCGCGCGCTGTGTGGGTTCGATCGGGCCTGAGGTGTTCTTCACACACAGCCCCACCCCGCCTGTCCCTCACACACAGCCCCACATCCCCCGCTTGTCCCTCACACACATCCCACCCAACCCCCGCCTGTCCCTCACACACATCCCACCCAACCCCCGCCTGTCCCTCACACACATCCCACCCAACCCCCGCCTGTCCCTCACACATCCCACCCAACCCCCGCCTGTCCCTCACACATCCCACCCAACCCCCGCTTGTCCCTCACACACAGCCCCACGCCCTGCTTGTCCCACACACACACACACACTGCCCCACACCCCTAGTCCCACACACAAAGCCCCCCCTCTCTGTGCCCGGGGCTGTGGTGCTGACATTTGAGGGGCAGCTGCTTCACGCGGGTGGGGAAGGTGCTCAAAAGTTTTTGTGAGATTCACTGTGAAATGTGGGGACTGTAGTTCCATGTGAACGAGCACCTGGTGTGTACACACCACACACAGACCAGAGCTTCCCCGCGAAAATCACTTTGCAGAGCATGTATATAACCTGAGAGTTTACGGTAATTTGCAGCGATTCTTTGTGCACACACCACACACACACACACTCGCATGTACACTCGCACGCATGCCTTCTGAACACTTTAGATGGTAGTTGGGACATGTCTCTTGGGACATTTCAAAGCCACTTAAGGAAGCCCTTCTCGCAGAATACTCCCCATCAGCACTTTATCCTGGAGAGCGTGCTCCAAATCCTTCTCTTCAATCTTTAAGACCACCTGCGGGAGGAAAAGCTGTCAATTTATATTTATATTACATAGGACAAAGCCGGCTCCACATCTCTCAGCCCCTTCGTGCCACTACACCCCTAACCTCCATTTCCCTGCCTTGCTCCCTCTGTGTCTGTCTTTAATGATACAATAATAATAATCCTTGCATTTGTTACAGTGCCTTATCACATCTTCTAGACATCTCAAAGCGCTTCACAGAATATACTGTAAAGTGAATTGACTCTACATTTGTGGGTGAAACGCGGCAGCCAATTGCGCACAGCATTGTCCCACAAACAGTCGTTGATCGAAGTGACCAATTTATTATTGTTTTTTTTTCTTGAGTGATTATTACCAGGTGTGTGGAGTAAGGAAGCTTGGCTAACATTTTGCCCTGTGGGAATCGAACCCAGGTCTCTCGCTTGCGAGGCGAGTGTTCTAACTACTGAGCTACAGGATTTAATTTCCTTGTTAAGATCTACCTCTTTGGTTTATGGTCAGGAGAGCGTCTCGAAGCACTTTGCAGGATTTCATTATAAAATGTAGTGACTCTGTACATTGTTGGCAACCAGAGAGAACAGGATGTACATGTGATGTTCACAATGAAACCCAAATGGGGATTGTAACAGTCCCCGCTCGCGCCCGCGCTCGCTCTGACCCACCTTCGCCAGCCGGGCTTCCCTGGTGCGTTTGATGCTCACGATGCCTCTGGCCTCCAGGAGGCTGCAAAGTGACAGACATTCCGACTGGTCAACTCCGCACATTTGCTGCTTCCTGCACACCTTCCTGTAAACCTCATGGAGCTGCAACACGGCAACGGCAGAGTCAGGGACTTGCACTTTCCAACCCCCCACAGTCCAATGCTCCCCCCACACACACAGGCCTACACCCCCCCCACACACACACACAAGCCTAACCCCCCACCACACACTGGCCTACACCCCCCCACACACACGCAGGCCTAACCCCCCACCACACACAGGCCTACACCCCCCCACCACTGACCACAGTCCTACATCCACCCCCACACACAGGCCCACCCCCCCCCCCCACCCACACACAGGCCTACACGCCCACACGTGCAGACTTACTCCCCCTCCCCCACCACCACACACACACACAGGCCTACCCCCCACCCCCCACGCACAAGCCTACAACCCCCTCTCCTCCACCACACACACAGTCTCATAACACCCTCCCACACACACAGGCCTACACCCCTCCACCACACACACAGTCCTTCACGCCCCCCCGCCACACGTGCAGACATACCCCCCCCCCCCCACGCACACACACAGGCCTACCCCCCACCCCCAACACACACAGGCCTAACCCCCCACCACACACAGGCCTACACCCCCTCCCCACACACACACACAGGTCTAACCCCCCACCACACACAGGCCTACACCTCCACACACAGGCCTACACCCCCCTCCTCTGTGTGATGGGAAGCCAGTGGAGTTGGGTGAGGATGGTGGAGATGGGGTCATGGAGCCTGGTGCGGGAGAGGACACGGGCGGCGGAGTTAATTTTGGATGATCCGCAGCCTGTAGAGGGAGGAGTTGGGGAGGCCGACAAGCAGGGAGGTTGTATAGTCGAGTCTCGATGTACTGAAGGAGTGTATGAGGGTCTCGGGACCTGCGGTATGAGACAGTGGCGGAGCCGGCGATCTTGCGGAGGTGGGGAAGGCAGAGCGGGTCATGGCACAAATGTGGGGTAGAAAGGATAGTTGAGGGTCAAACAAGACCCCAAGGTTCCGGACTGGCTCAGTGAGGGGGAGTGAGCCCCATGGATGGTGATGCTGTCAGTGCCTGAGGTGTGGAGGCGTTGATGGGAGCCAATCAGGAGAGCCTCAGTCTTGTTGACGTTCAACTGAAGAAAGTTATCTCTTATCCAGGACTTGATGTCTGACAGACATTCTGTGAGGACAGCAGTAATCCTGGAGTTGAGGGTGGAGGCAGAGAGGGAGAGTTGGGTGTCATCCGCATACATATGGGAGTTGATCCCATATCCGCGGATGTCACCAAGAGGAACATATAGATATTGAAGAGGGGTGGACCAAGGTCAGAGCCCTGAGGAACGCCACACGAGACGGTGCGGGGGCTAGAGGAGAAACTGTTTGTGGAAATGAAGTGGAGACGGTGTGAGAGGTACGATCTGAACCAGTCAAGTACAGAACTGTGAAGGTTGAGGTGGGAGGAGTCGGTGGATGAGATCAACAGTGTCGAAGGCAGCAAAGAGATCAAGGAGGACAAAGAGGCAGAGGGAGTCCTGGTCACAGATGGACAGAATGTCATTTGTCATTTTGATCAAAGCTGTTTCTGTGCTGTGAGCGGCATGGAAATCCGATTGGAGGGGTTCATGAAGGGAGTGGTGGGAGAGAAAGGAATAAAGTTGGGGAGGACCTTGGAGAGGAAAGGGAAGTTGGAGATGGGGCAGTAGTTTGAGAGCAGTGATAGGACCCGGAGGTTTTTTTTTAAGGATAGGAGTGATGACGGCAGTTTTTAAAAACGGTAGGAACAGTACCAGAGGACAGGGAGAAACAGAGGAAACGGCCTTCTACTCCAACGTCATCTTGGAGGCTAAACACAACCCTAAAATCCTTTCTTCCACCAGCCACTACCTCCTTGGTGCCTCCCCCAATGTCAAGTGCGAGGAGGTCATGGACTTCTTTTCATCTAAAATACTTAACATCTGCCAGGCAGCCTCATCCACCTGCACCTTGTCACCCACCAACACGCCCTCCCCATCATCTGCTCCTACCACCACCCCCATTCTACATTCCTTCCTCCCCATCTCTCCCTCCTCCCTCTCACCTACCATCACCTCCATGAAACCCACCACCTGCTGCCTCGACCCCCTCCCCACCAACTTACTGCTCACTCAGCTCCCCCTCCTCTGCCCACTACTGGCTCACGTCATCAACCAGTCCCTGTCCTCTGGATTAGTCCCTGCCGCCCTCAAAACTGCTGTCAACACCCACCTCCTGAAAAAAACCCTCCCTAGATCCCTCAAACCCCAGCCATTACCGCCCTATTTCTAATCTGCCCTTCCTCCCAAAAGTTCTAGAATGCGTTGTTGCCAACCAACTCCGCGCACACCTCTCCTCCCACTCCCTCTTCGAACCCCTCCAGTCCAGTTTCCGCCCACAGTACAGAGACTGCGCTTGTGAAAGTCACTAACGACCAAGGCTCCCTCTGCCTCCTTGTCCTCCTGGACCTCTCCGCGGCGTTCAATACAGTCGATCATGCCATCCTCCTCTACCGCCTTTCCTCTGTCATCCACCTCAGTGGGACCGCACTCGCCTGGTTCGAGTCCTACCTCACAAACCGCCAGCAGTACATCTGCACAAACGGCTTCTCCTCCCGCTCTCACCCGGTCACCTGCGGGTACCCCAAGGATCCATCCTTGGCCCCCTCCTCTTTCTGATCTTTATGCTCCCTCTTGAGGATGTCATCCGCAGACATGGGGTACATTTCCACATGTACGTGGACGACACCCAATTCTATTTTTCCACCTCTCTTTGCGACCCCCAGTCCCCTGATGTTCTGTCAGTTGCCTGTCAGATCTCAGGGGCTGGATGAGCGCAAATTTCCTTCAGCTGAACGTTGACAAGACAGAAGCCATACTCTTTGGCTCTTGTCAACGTCTAAAATCATTACCTCCTCCACCTACCCGACCTGCCCCTAAAACTCTCTGAACCCGTACGTAACCTAGGCATCAAGTTCGACCCCCAATTGTCCTTCCTCTCCCACATCTGGTCCCTCACCAGCACCGCCTTCTTCCACCTTCGACGCATCGCCCATCTCCAATACCTCTCCCCAAAAGCCGCTGAAACCCTGGTCCATGCCTTTATCACCTCTCGGCTGGACTACCGGGTGGCTGCGAGTGTGGTGGGAATGGGGCAGTCGGTGTGGCTGCTGCTGGACAGCCAACGCCGAGTGCCGCGGTGAGCCCGGCGGAGGATTCCCAGACTGGAACAGAGGGAGGTTGTGGGAGGGTCAAGTGGGGATAGAAGACGAGAGGGACGGAGAGAGAGGAGGAGAGAGTGGGAGAGATGCAGAGGGGGAGGGTTTGGGGGGAGAGAGGAGGGGGGAGGGGGGGGGTGAGGGGTCTCGGGTCAAAGCGGCAGCCATAGTGCGCACGCGGGGACCGGGAGCGAGCGGTCAGGTGGATGGCATTATCCCGTAGATTGGGGCAGCGAACCCAACAGGACCATAGTGGGCTCTGATGTGAGCCCTGGGGGGGGGGGGGGGGGCAGAGAGTTTTTTTTTTTTTTTTTTGCGCGCACCTGAAAGCTAATCTATGACGTCGCAGTTCCCCCGCCCCCACCCCCACACCGCCCAACCCCAAGCTGATCTCGCTCCGGCGTCGAGTTTAAGTACCTGGGTCAGTAGGCCCAGGCTCCTCCCCGCGCTGTCCTGCCGCCGCTCCCCGACCTACACATAGATATCCCAGCCCTCAGCCCCCAGCTCCACAGCCCCCCAGTCCAGCCCCCAAACCCACAGCTCAACACCCCAGCCCAGCCCCCAGTCCAGCCTCTAGCCCCCAGCTCAGTCCCCAAACTTCCAGCACCCTAGCTCCAAAACCTCCAGCCCCCCAGCTCCCAGCCCCCAAAACCCCAGCCCCCCAGCGCAGCCCCCAGCTCAGCCCCCAGCCCCCAAACTCCCAGCCCCACAGCCCAGCCCCCCAACCCAGCCGCTCAAACCAGCCCAGCCAACCCAGTCCATCCCACTAACCCAGCACCCCAAGCCAGCCGCCCAACCCAAGCCGCCCAGGCCAGCCAACCAAGCCCAGCCCCCAATCCAGCCGCGCCAGTGCAGCCCCACAGAACAACCCCCAAACCCAGCCTCCGCAACACAGCCCCCAGGCCAGGCCCCCAACCCAGCCCCCAAACCTGCCCAGGCCCTCAAACAAGCCCAGGCCCCCAGCATCCCAGGCCAGCTCCCCAACCCAGGCCCCTGCCCAGCCTTTGAGCCCACCCCCCAAGTACCCTTCCACCCAGCCCAGCCTGCATCCCCCAACCTAGCCCTGCAACACAGCCCCCAGCCCAGCACGCCAGCCCAGTCCAGCCCCCACCAGCCAGCCCAGCCCCCAGCCTAGCCCCCAACACAGCCCCCCCAGCCCCACCTCCCAGCCCAGGATGGCAGAGTTTTGGATCACTTTGATCCTGTGCATAGTGGAGCTGGGGAGACCAGCAAAGAACGCATTTGAGAAATCGAGTCGGGAGGGTTTCGGCTGCATCTAGGGTGAGGTACGGTCAGAGATGGGCAGTGTGGCGGAGGTGGAAGAAGGTGGTCCTGGTCACGGACCGGATGTGGGGGAGGAAGGGCAGCTGGGGGTCAAACCTGAAGCCTTGGTTGCGCACTGGTACGGTAAGTCTGAGGGAGAGCCCAGGGAGGTTCAGGAGGTCAGAGCCGCAGGAGAGAAGACATTGATGGGAGCCAATGAATATGGCTTCCGTCTTGTCAACATTTACATCCACCTGAACAGGCAGGTTTAATGTCTCGTCCAAAGGACAGCACGTCTGACAATGTAGCGCCCCTCCAGCACTGCATTGGAGAGTCAGCTTACATAATGTGACTCTAAATCCCGACATGGGACTCGAACCCACAGCCTTCGCCTCTGCCCACTGTGCTTACAGTTCATTTAATTAGAGCAGTTACAGAGGAGATCTTAATGTAACGAGCAAAGCTGGACCACACACTCTTCCATTAGATCTCACTTAACTTCGTCAAGTTATAATAATAACAATTGCATTTCATTTGACACAGTGCCTCATCATGTCCCAACGTCACAGAGTGGTTCACCAGGTTTTCTGTGATGTGTAGTCACTGTTTATTTTGCAGGAAAACTAGGTCCACAAAAACAGCCATGAAGTGAGTGACCAGTTTGTGTGGTGGGGGGGGGGGGGGGGGTTGTTTGTGAGTGTGTATGTGTGTGTGTGAGTGCGTGTGAGAGTGTGTGTGTGTGTGTGTTCAGCTGCCTCCGCTCTCCCAACCGCCACTCCTTTCCCATCTCCCCCCCCATACTCTGACCCCTACCCATCCCTCCCTCCACATCTTCGAACCTATCTCCCACTCCTCTCTCATCACCCCCATATCCAGCATGAAACACACCATCTGCTCCCTTGACCTCATCCCCACCCAGCTCCACCTTCTCTCCCCTGTACTCTCCGACACCATCAATCTCTGCCTATAATCTGACACCATTCTCATCCACCCAAAAACAGCTACAATCACCCCCATCCTAAAAAAACCTAACCTCTGGTACCATCACTGTCTTCTAACTTACGCCCATCTCCAACTTCCCTTTCCTCTCCAAGGTCCTCCCCAACTTTATTCCTTTCTCTCCCACCACTCCCTTCATGAACCCTCCAATCGGATTTCCATGCCGCTCACAGCACAGAAACAGCTTGATCAAAGACAAATGACATTCTGTCCATCTGTGACCAGGACTCCCTCTGCCTCTTTCCTCCTTGATCTCTTTGCTGCCTTCGACACTGTTGATCTCATCCACCGACTCCTCCCACCTCAACCTTCACAGTTCTGTACTTGACTGGTTCAGATCGTACTCTCACACCGTCTCCACTTCATTTCCACAAACAGTTTCTCCTCTAGCCCCCGCACCGTCTCGTGTGGCGTTCCTCAGGGCTCTGACCTTGGTCCACCCCTCTTCAATATCTATATGTTCCTCTTGGTGACATCCGCGATATGGGTCAACTCCCATATGTATGCGGATGACACCCAACTCTCCCTCTCTGCCTCCACCCTCAACTCCAGGATTACTGCTGTCCTCACAGAATGTCTGTCAGACATCAAGTCCTGGATAAGAGAACTTTCTTCAGTTGAACGTCAACAAGACTGAGGCTCTCCTGATTGGCTCACAGCCTCCACACCTCAGGCACTGACAGCATCACCATCCATGGGGCTCACTCCCCTCACTGAGCCAGTCCGGAACCTTGGGGCTTGTTTGACCCTCAACTATCCTTTCTACCCCACATTTGTGCCATGACCCGCTCTGCCTTCCCCACCTCCGCAAGATCGCCGGCTCCGCCACTGTCTCATACCGCAGGTCCCGAGACCCTCATACACTCCTTCAGTACATCGAGACTCGACTATACAACCTCCCTGCTTGTCGGCTCTCCCAACTCCTCCCTCTACAGGCTGCGGATCATCCAAAATTAACTCCGCGCCCGTGTCCTCTCCCGCACCAGGCTCTGTGACCCCATCATCCCCACCCTCGCCCGACTCCACTGGCTCCCCATTCCTCAGAGAATAGAATCCCAAATCCTCGTCCTCACCTTCAAGACCCTCCATGGCTTTGCCCCCTCCTAACTCTCTGACCTGCTGACCCTCTATCAATCTGTCCGCTCCCACCGCTCAGCAGAATCTGACCTGCTCCAGGTCTCTTGCCCGACCCGCCTCACCATCGGTGGCCGGGCTTTCAGCCTCTTTGCCCCCACCCTCTGGAACTCCATCCCACAATCCCTTCTCCTCGGTTCCTCTCTTGCCTCCTTCAAGGCACGAATCAAGACCCTCATTTTTGACTGTGCCTTCAGCCGCACTCCTACCCCCTCTGCCCTCCCTCATCCCAACCCTATCCCCACCCCCACACTCGGGTCCTGATTCCCGACTGTTCAGCGACTTGAGACATCCTCCCGACATGAAGGCGTTTTACATGTTGTTGTTGTTGTGTGTGTGAGTGTGTGCGAGTGTGCTTGTGAGTGAGTCTGAGAGTGTGTGTGACTGCGTGTGTGCATATGTATGTGACTGTACGTGTGAATGTGTATGTGTGAGTATATGTGTGTGAGTGTGTGAGCGTGTGCGTGTGTGTATGTGTGAGTGTGTGTGTGTGAGTGTGTGTGTATGTGTGAGTGTGTGTGAGTGTGTCTATGTGTGAGTGTGTGTATGTGTGAGTGTATGTGTCTGTGTGAGTGTGTGAGCGTGTGTGTATGTGTGAGTGTGTGTATGTGTGTGAGTGTGTGTATGTGTGAGTGTGTGTATGTGTGAGCGTGTGTATGTGGGTGAATGTGTGTATGTGTGAGTGTGTGTGTATGTGTGTATGTGTGAGCGTGTGTGTATGTGTGAGTGTGTGTGTGAGTGTCTGTGTATGTGCGAGTGAGTGTGTGTGTATGTGTGAGTGTGTAGGTGTGAATGTGTGTATGTGTGAGTGTGTGTATGTGTGTGAGTGTGTGAGTGTGTGTGTGAGCGTGTGTGTGAGTGTGTGTGAGTATGAGCGTGTGTGAGCGTGTGTGAGTGTGTGTGTGTGTGTGTGTGTGAGTGTGTGAGCGTGTGAGGGTGAGCGTGTGAGTGTGTGAGTGTGTGAGCGTGTGTGTGTGTGTGAATGTGCGAGTGTGTGTGTGTGAGTGTATGAGTGTGTGAGTGTGTGTGAGTGATGAGGGTACCCAAGGATCCATCCTTGGCCCCCTCCTCTTTCTGATCTTTATGCTCCCTCTTGAGGATGTCATCCGCAGACATGGGGTACATTTCCACATGTACGTGGATGACACCCAATTCTATTTTTCCACCTCTCTTTGCGACCCCCAGTCCCCTGATGTTCTGTCAGTTGCCTGTCAGATCTCAGGGGCTGGATGAGCGCAAATTTCCTTCAGCTGAACGTTGACAAGACAGAAGCCATACTCTTTGGCTCTTGTCAACGTCTAAAATCATTACCTCCTCCACCTACCCGACCTGCCCCTAAAACTCTCTGAACCCGTACGTAACCTAGGCATCAAGTTCGACCCCCAATTGTCCTTCCTCTCCCACATCTGGTCCCTCACCAGCACCGCCTTCTTCCACCTTCGACGCATCGCCCATCTCCAATACCTCTCCCCAAAAGCCGCTGAAACCCTGGTCCATGCCTTTATCACCTCTCGGCTGGACTAC